TTTTTTTTCTTGAAAAATTTTCCACATACAAATTTTTTGATAAACAAAAATTAGTTTTTTTAACTACGCCATCTCAAAAAAATTGGGAAAAATTTTTTTTGAATAAGCAGTTTTATAGCCCATCAAATTTTAGTTTAATAAAGTGCAAGTTTTAAGCGATTGCAAAACTTCCGTTAATTTTAATTATTATTTTTTCTTTGAAAACGGTTTTAGGCATTTTCATCGATTTGGAAAAAGTGCAAGAAGCCGTGAGCATAAACAATATTAAAAATCAACGCAATTTTGCAGTAGCTTAACACTTGCACTTTTATATACTCAAATTTAATGGGCTACAAAATTGCATACTCAAAAAAATTTTATTTTTGTTTTAATTGTAATGTACTCATTTTACTCAACTTCGGTGTAAAAAAAAATTCATAACTCAAATTATTGTAGAGTGCACCCCATAACATTATACTTAAATATTGCGCAATACTCAGAGCTACCATTGTGATTTTTTCCAATTTTTTTTGAAATGGCATATTTTCAAAAACTAATTTTTTTTATCAAAAAATTTGTATGTGGAAAATTTTTCAAGAAAAAAATTAAAAAATATTTTTTTTCGTAGGGAATTTTGATGTGTGTATGTGTGATTTTATCGATAAAAACGTTTTAATTGCGTATGCATGTTCACTTTGAGCAAATTGTGAGCACTGGTTGGGGAAATCTTCGGTAGATTGGGCAAATCGCTAATTGGGCCAAAATTAGAGCCCAATTGGGAAAAACTTTTGGCTCTGATCGGGCAACCTCAAAAAATTTCCAGCAAGGAAATTTTGTCATAATGGGCAACAATTTTTGTGCCCTCAACTGGCACGAAAATCTGCTAGCATCATATAAGTGCATTTTCAGAAAAAAAATCATAACTCAAAAACGACGATTTTTAGCATATTGCTACTCGTACTGAAAATAGTTTATTCTATTCCCTTATAGACAAAACAGTTTGAGAGAAAAAAAAGATGTGGCAATTTCAAAAAAAATGAATTAAAAAAAAAATTTGTTTGTTTATAAACAATAATTAATTATTAATAAACACTTACTGATGTTTAGTTCACTAGATCGATTCAGTAGATCAATATCTGCAAGTAAAAAAAAAAAATCGTTAAAATCCTTGCTTTTTTGCGGCAGTTATAAGCGATTTCATCAAAAGTTGCTATTAAGAGAGGAAAGCGTAAATAGGAAGCGTTCGTACTCAAAAAGAAAAAAATTCATTATTCGAAAAATTCGCATTTCTGAGCAAAAAGAAAAAATACGTGTCTTCTTAAATTGTTCAAGGAACAATCCCTGTGAGTTTTATCGCAAACTTAAATTCACTTTCCCCCGGCCTGGGTGATTTGAGATGGAATGAGCCATGAGCTTAAATTCGTAAATCAAATGAGAAATAATATGAGTCATATTGGACTCTTATTAGCCTCATATACGGCTCAGTTTGGACTCTTTTTTTTTAAATACAGTTTTTGGCCTTATATATATGAATTATTTGAGCCTCTTTTAGAGACTCTTATATTGCTCTAATTGGCCTCATAACTGACGCCTTTCGGACTCTTATTTCAGGATCTCCTTTGAGTCTTATTGAGCCCATGTTAGAGCGATATTTGCAAAAGCATTTAACAAAAATTTCTTTCGACTACGTTTTTCATCTATTGTTCTTATGTGCAATTATCAGGGACATAACTTATTAGAAAAATTATAAAAAGGTCTTATTTAGCCATTAGTAGGAACAAACGAATGTTTATAAACAATAACATAGAAACCGATTTGGTTTTTTTAACTCTAGCTTCAAAATTGTTTTTTCCCTGGGATACAAAAAGTGCAAACCAAAGGCTGGTCTCTACGAGGAGACATTGGTGTTACTGAAGAGAACCAAAATAATTTATCTTAAATGGATAATAAGGAATATCTAAAAATATTAAATTCAGTATGAAAAAGAAATAGCCTGGTCAGTTTTATTGAAAAGCCCGTCAGCAGCACGGGTTATTGTCTTGTAGCCTTTCTAAACATTGACGGAGGTTGTAACAATATAAATTCAGCCGCCATAATACTAGAAGTGGACAGTTTATAAGCCAAATGCTCTTCTGCAAGGCGATCACGGAAAACGTGGGTGAGAACTTGGCTTCAAGATATGTGACAAGGGGCACACCGCATGGTGGCGTGCTCTCGCCACACCTTTGGAACTTAACCGTGAATTCTCTATTGCAAGAGTCGAAACTGGGAAGCGCCAAGGTTGTGTATGCGGATGACGAAGCTATCGCATATAGCTGTGCAAATTGATGCAGAGGGCACTTCGCGATGTATCAAGGTGGTCGAAGCGCTGTGGCGTCTGCGTCAATTCGGAGAACTCCGCCTGAATCAAACAGGCAACTCATAAACTTTACGAATAAAGCAAAATTCTTGAGGGATTTCCTCGACAGAAAACTGAGCTGGAAGTAGAACATAGTCCAGCGTTATGGGAAGGCGTCTGTGGCCTTATATTCGGACAAGAGGGCCATTGGTAAGAAATGGTGGTTGAGCCCGAGTATGTGCCGCGGGATTCTCATTTATGGGATTATGGACCGGCCTTCACCAAGGGAACCCTACTCACGAATATTTCCTCCCATTTCGGAGCATTCCCAAGCATTGCCCATTCAAATATCTTAAATTGCTTTAACGGCTGAGTCCACGAATTTATATATGTGTAGTGATCACCCTAACACTTGTACTTGCCATACTATGTGGCAACACTGAAAAGCAGACAACGATTGACAAAACGCAACCAACTTCGTTTTATTAAAATTGATTTTTAACCGACGCCGAAGTTTTAGTTACGCATTCGAAAAATACTACGCATTGACAACGTAATACTTTTTATAAAGGAATATTATTTTAAGTTTGTATTCATTGAATTGAATAAAGAATTATGGAGCCATTGCACTTCCATAAGTGGTGACCCCGACGAACGTGAAATACTCTGGCTATAATTTGTCAACCTGTGGACGACATCATGCCAAACGACAACGAGGAAACATTTAAAGACGCAGTTGTTCCATTTCAAGTGGCACGACTGGCAGTTAAGCCGCCACCGTTTTGGAGGCCAGACCCGCGCCTCTGCTTTGCGCAGGTGGAGGCTCAATTCGCACGAGCTGGAATTTACACAGACGAAACTAACTATTTGACAGTTGCTGCGGAGATTGATTCAGAAGTATTGGCACGCGCTACAGACATTATTTCATCCCCACCTGCCACCGGCAAATATGAGGCGTTGAAATAAAGGCTTATTGCAGAATTTGGTGAGACCAGTGAGAAAAGGCTCAGGCGGTTATTCGAAGGTTGCGAGTTAGGCCAGAAGAAACCTTCAACGTTATTGCACGAGATGAAAGATCTAGCGAATCAACAGCTGGGTAAAGAAATGTAGAGTTTTTATGGTTACGTCGCTTACCCGTTCAAGTGCAGCAAATTTTAGTAACGCTCGAAGGCGATGTGGAGGATTTGGCTAAGAAAGCTGATGGCATAATGACGATTCCGGCAACGAACATCAGCGTTGACGCCGTGAGTACACCAAGCGACGATTTAACCGCAACTATTTCGGAATTGGTAAACCGGCTGGACAGGCTTGAGCGGGGGATATCGTAGGTAAGCAGCAGCGTGGGGGAGGACCTCCGCGACGTTCACAACCAGTCAGTACACGTAGCGAGACAGCACGAGCTTCACACAATGTTTTCTGCTGGTATCATCGCACCTTTGGAGAGAACGCAACGCGATGTCGATCGTTCATTCAAAGCGGCTGCTTCGGAGGACGACATGAGTTCTAGCTGCCTTTACGATCGGGAAAGAACGTCAATAATGGGATTTATCATCGACACGGGTGCCAAGTTTTCGGTTGTGCCCAAGCGTCCCGGGCAGAGTATGCAACACGCCGTCATGAAACTGGTTGCTGGAAACAACACTGCAATTAATACTTTTGGTATCTCTTTGGATTTAGGCGTTGGTCGGACATTCAGCTGGCTGTTAGTCAACTCCGTCGTAGCGCATCCTATAATAGGTGCGGATTTTTTAAAGCACTATGACGTTTTAGTAGACTTAAGAAATAAAGTAATCATAGACCGAGCAACGAGCATGCGAGCACTATGCCAAATCATTAAGCCACCGCAAAGTATAATTTCTTTGAGAGGAGGTAATCCTTTTCATACAATCTTAGCGCGCTACTCCGACCTAACCAACGATGGACCTAGGGCAGGTAGGACTGTGACGGCCGTTCAACATCATATTGAGACACGAGGGGCACCTGTGGTCCAGAAGGTACGCCGCCTATCACCTCAAAAGTTGGAGCTCGCGAAAAAAGCATTCGGCTACCTGCTTGATTGGGGTATATGTCAGCGCTCAGGTAGCCAATGGACGCGTCCGTTGCATATGGTGCAGAAATCCAACGGAACTTAGAGGTCTTGCGGCGACTATAGGCGATTGAATGCCAAGACAATTCCCGATATCTACCCGATACGGCATATCCAGGATTTTGGAGGAGACTTGTATGGTAAGATGATTTTTTCCGTAATAGATTGCAAGAAGGCATACCATCAGATCCCAGTGCACCCAGCAAAGGTGCCGAATATAGCTATCCTGACACCGTTCGGACTCTTCGAGTTTAAATATATGACGTTCGGGCTTAGGAACGCTGCCCAAACGTTCCAACGCTACAAAGATGAAACCATCAAGGGTTTACCTTTCGTTTTCCCTTATCTTGATGATGTGCTCGTCGCCTCCACGTCGCAGGAGGAGCACGCAGAGCATCTCGAAAAAGTTTTTGACCGCTATCGCGAGAGGGGTTTGGTCATTAACGATGAAAAGTGTCAGCTCGGACTAGAGGAAGTAGAGTTCTCGTCTCGGCTAAAGGCATCAAGCCGCTGCCGCAGAAGGTGAGGGGCATACTGGAGTTCAATAAACCGAAGGTAGTCCACGACTTGAGAAGATTTTTGGGGGCTATTAACTTCTATAGACGGTTTTTACCACATGCTGCTGCCATCGAGGCACCATGGCAAAGGCTGATGGGCCCATGCAAGAAACGTGACAGAACAGCAACGAATAGCAATAAATTGGACAAGAGAGGCGACAGAGGCGTTCGAAACACTTAAGAAGCAGTTGGCGGAAGCAGCTCTTCTGGCTTTTCCAATGAGAGATGCCACAACCCCCTTGATGACTGATGCCTCAGACATCACAGTCGGTGGAGTTATTTAACAGCTGGTCGTTGGTAAGTGGATGCCGCTGGGTTTCTGTTCGCAAAAGTTTACTCCAACCGAACAGCGTTATAGTGCCTATGATCGCGAATTGTCAGCAATGTATAAAGCCATTCGACACTTCCGTTACCATTTGGAGGGTACAGTTTTCACTATTTTCACCGACCACAAACCGCTTACGCATACTTTTGAACAGAAATGGCGGAAACTTTCACCACGGCAAACACGCCAGCTAAACTTCATCAGCCAATTTTCCTCCGAAATACGGCATATCAGCGGTGCTGATAATCTTGTAGTTGATATGCTCTCAAGAATTGCATTACCATCACCAGTAGATCTACAGCAGTTGCATGATGAGCAAAATAGAAGCGTAGATCTTAAGAAACTACTCGACGGTGAGCCTACTTCGTTGCATTTAGTGACATATCGACATCTAGGTACAGGTAAAGAAATAGTCTGCGATGACTCAACCGGTTCACTGCGTCCGCACGCCCCAGAGATTTTACGTCAGGTGATATTCAACGCTAGTCACGATTTGGCCCATCCGGGAGCGAAGGCAACTATTAAATTGAGTGCAAAAAGTTTCGTTTGGAAAAGGATGGGTAGTGATCTACGAATATGGGTCCGCAGTTGCCCAGCCTGCCAGCGATGTTAAATTTCCCTTCACACGAAAGCTGAACTCGAACAATTTGCAGTCCCAGGTAAACGATTTGAACATATCAACGTGGATATAGTCGGTCCATTTACCCCCTCGAGAGGTTTCACATACTCAACCTGTGTGAACCGGTTCTCAAGATGGTTAGAAGTAATTCCCTTGGCGAATACGACGGCCGAGACGGTTGCTAGGGAGCTCTTTGGTGGGTGGATAAGCCGGTTTGGTGCGCCGATCAAGGGCGTCAATTTGAAAGCGCTTTATTCCAAGAGTTGGCAAATCTTTTAGGAGTCAGACACATACACACCACCACCTACCATCCACAAGCAAACGGTATGGTGGAGAGATGGCACCGATTCCTGAAAGCCGCGCTTAGATGCCATTCATCAACAGGTTAAAAACATCTGCAAAGAAGAGTTAGGAGTTTCTGTGGCGGAGATGATCTATGGTCAACCTATTCGGCTTCCAGGCGACTTCATAGACCGAATGAGGTTAGTCCCGTAGGCCAGCAAGGTTCCTTACGGGAGTTACGGCAGCATTTCGAAATGGCTCAGCCGACTTAGACTTCGCAGCACGGAAAGCCTGCAGTATTTGCAGTATTTCCCAAAGGACGATTTGGCAGCCTTTGGGCAGTGTACGTTGTGACGGATGGTTCTGGTTCCAGCAGGCCTATTGGAAGGAGGTGGTGTCGTGATCACCCTAAAACTTGTACTTGCCACACTATGTAAAAGCAGACAACGATTGACAAAACGCAACTAACTTCGTTTTATTAAAATTGAATTTTAACCGACGCCGAAGTTTTAGTTACTCAGTCGAAAATACTGCGCATTGCTTTTCAAGGAAAAATATTGCCATTGAGCAACAATGCATAATCCAACCGACATATTAAAAAAAAAAACATTTTTTGTACTTTTTATTATACTAATATTATAGATTTTGAGACGAGAAACACGATTCCACTGTTTAAACACGAAAAAAATTTCAACCCCTCAATTTGAAAAATGCATTATATGTATATTGTATTTTTTATGATTTGCATGCAGCTGTGCATCCTTTACACAATATTATATACCTCGAACAACAAGTCAGTTTTAGTGCTATTCAAGACATTTAATTTAAGCCATGGTAGAAATCTCTAGGCCCTTTGAGAGCTAAATTGTTACGATTCTAAAATTTCATTCGACATTTTACGCACTCTTTTCTAATTTCGGAGTAAAACCTAGGGCAGCAGTTTCGAAGTTTGGTTTAAAATTATTATAACTTGGCTCTTAGACGGCCTAAAGTCTTTGGCTCAGATTAAAGGTCTTAAACTGTACTTATTGTTCGAGGGATATAAAATTGAGTGCAGGATGCACAGCACATGCAAATAGAAAAAAAATCAATAAAGGTAAGTTAAATGTTATACGTACCAAAATTCTTAAAAAGTAAA